AAAGAGGGACAAAGGTTAGTGGTCGACTGTCACGTACTGATGGTCAGCACACTGACAGATTGTTCTATAGATAGTGGACCCGGAACGTTCATTTCCTGGGCAAACAGATGGTTGAGTAATTAACTTAGGAACTTTGCTTTGTTACAGAGTGTGTCTTTTGTCCCAGAGCAAGCACATTTTAACCATTAATTTGTGAGGACAACAGAGACTAGGGGAATAGTGGATTTTAGCAAAATGGAGTCGCTTTGGTCTCACGGTTATTTTTTAATAAAAAGCAGTTGGAATTCTGAGGCTGCTGGCTGTGTTCTCCTTCAGCGCCCGATCTGCATGGGAATGTTCGGGGGTTCCTGGGACCATCAAGGCCTCCCACGGGGTTATCCTGCACCCACGACCCCTGAGGCCCTGCTGCAGGGGCTGGAGAAGGACAAGTGGCCCTGTGGGCTGGGGCAGTCAGTGGCAGTGACTTTCTAAGTGAAGGCTCAGAGGTGACAGGGCCAGAAGTCACTGGGCTGAGTAAGCCTGAGGCTGGGACTTTCCAGTCTGGAGGGGAGAAGTTTCAGGCTAAGGCTGAGGCAGGAGGGGCCTGGCCCGGCCCAGCAGAGGGCCTGGGGGATAACAGCACTGCTAGCCTAGGTTAAGGTGGGACAGGGGACAGGAAGAAATGAGGGATGGATGGGGTGGTGCACACCTGTAATCCCAGCACTTGGGAGGCTGAGGCAGGAAGATCACTGAGAGTTCAAGGCCAGCCTTGGCTTTATAGTGAGACCCTGTCTCAAACAGAAATGAGGGACACTCGTGTCCTTATTTCCACATTTCCTTTAAGTGCCTGCTTGGATAGCTGACTTCAAGCCTGGGGCCTCTCCTGGTCACTGAGTGTTGGGGAGGGACCTGCCGGGCCAGGACAGCTTCAGGCAGGAAGCGGTCACAGGCCTGGCTTGGTTCTGTGCGCGAGCGCCCCCTGCTGGTTGCAGATGGCTGGGCGGCTGTGCTGCCTGGCAGAGCAGGGCTCCAGTGTGGCAGAGGCCTGGGGCAGCTTCTCCAAAACAGGTGGGTGGGGAGAGGCACTCAGGCCCTTAGGAGGTGCCCTCGGCATGGCCACCCAGGGGGCCCCTGCAAAGGTTTGGGTCACCTGGAGCCTTGTCTTGCTGAGACGGGAGGGTCTGAGAGAGGCTGTTCCTGTCCCTGTCCCTTGACCCCACCAGCCGGCCTCTGGGAGATTTTAATGACCTTCCTCCCAGCCAGGAAGGGCAGGCCCAAACCTTCCAGGGCTGAGGAGGTAACCCCACAGGCCTGCAGCATCGCCCCATTATTAGGGATAATTGGGAGCTGTCTGGAGGAGGAGCCCAGACTCAGGGCCCCAGGGCTGAGACAGTCCCTCCGTGAGATGCACACCCTGCTGCCCCCGGCAGATCCGGGTCAGCCTGTTACCTGGCCCCCACCGCCTCCAAGCCCCGACAGTGTCCAGGGGCCACACCTCTGTCCCTGCACGGGCCACCACCACCCAACCCCTGCCTGCTGGGCACTTTGCCCAGGGCCTTCCAGGGCAGGAGTCCCGGCTGCCAACCCCAGGGCAGGAGGTGCCCTGGAAGCCTGGAGGAACCCAGGCAAGGCAGTGCCGACCCAGCAGGCTCCCTGTCCCTGCCTTGGCCTGAGTTTCTCCCCTGCTGGGCCACACAGGCCTCAAGCACAGTCACCGCTGGCCCGGGTGCCCTCTGCTTCTCGGGAAGTCTGAGTGCCCTGGTGACATCCAGCTGTCCCTGCCCCGTCTGCGTGCTGTCTGTGGCGGGACTGGACATGGGGGACCTGGCTGCCCCCAGGGCACTGTCACTGCCGGCAGCCCTGGAGATGAGCCCCTCCCAGCTCCCCACAGGACACAGAACTGGGCCCCAGTGCGGAGTCACGGCCACCACCTCCTCATTCAGAGCCCACGGAGCAGGGGCGCTGGCTTTGTTTCTTCCAAGATATTTACTAGTGCATGGCAGGGAGGGGAGCTGGGGGTTCCTGGGGTCCAGCAGCAGGAAGTAAGCACAGAGGCCCTGGGGTGGAGCTGGGGTGGGTCCTGGCCAGGGGAACAGCCAGGCAGGAGCCAGGCAGGGGGCTTGTCATCTCCTGCAGGGCACTGGAGCTGTTTTATCAGGTATCAGGCAGGAGATTGTGAAATGAAAAACCTGGATTTATGCAGGGGAAGCTGCGAAAGGATTCCTGGTGGGAGGACTGTGCAAGGAGGGGCTGAGGGTTAGGTGAAGGTCACCTCCTTCGGGGAGGGAGCAGGCAGGAAAGAGCAGGTATGGGAGCAAGTGAAGCCCAAGGGGACCCCAGGGGCAGGGGCTTTGGGTTGGCGCTGAGGGCAGGGCCTGGAAGGAAGAAGCCTGCGTGGTCATCCTGCCGCCAGGCAATTCGAGTCCTTGCCTCAGTGATGATGGAAATTAAAACTGAAGCAGGACAAAGCTTTGATGAAGGTGATGGAAGATAAAGGGGTCAGAGCTCTGACAAGGATCCAGATGCAAAGGAAGAGCAAGGAGGGAAAGGAAGGACTCCAGGGCAGGTGGCTCAAGGAGCTGTGCTGATGCAGGGTCAGCCTGGCCACCCCAGCAGGAGGCCAGCGTGAGGCGGGCCAGGGTGTGGTCACCGTGGCCTCAGGTGGACCCTCTCGCCTGGAGGGCCACGTGGTGCCCATGGGAGGACTCAACGGCTGACAGGCAGGGTCACTGCAGGTAACCCCAAAGCTAGAGCAGTGGAGACTTACAGCATAGCTGAAGCGCCTGTAAACTGCCTGTCGCGGTGCTCAGTCTGGAACACTGATAAGGGGCTAACCTTAGCACTGTTAAACCTGGTTTCACCAACCTCTAGACAGGCACTCGCTGGACGACTAACCGGGCTCTGCGGAGCTGAGGAGGGTTTGACCCAGAGTTTCACAAAGTAAAGGTCAGGCTTTGTTCTACTTGCTCTACCACTGAGCCGCACCCCAGCCCTCTCAGGGTTTCACACAGGAGATTCCTGCTGGGACTGTGACCTTCACCTAATAAGACTGACAATCCCTGAAGAAGACAAATTAGGATGCAGGCCAGGAAGGCAGGATCCTTTGCAGAGGTCAGGCAGGGTTCCCATAGCTCCTGTTTCTCACGACACCCCAAGAGCAGAGCAATAGGAAAGTTGTTCCTCAGCACAGCGGCCTGACCTTATTCATGAACCCTTTCTGGCCTCTCAGCCGGGACCTGCCGGGTTCCACGTAGCCTCAGCTGAGGCTCTGCTGCCTGGCATTGGGGGCCCTGAGGAGGCCGGGCCTCAATGTCTGGGCCCCAATACTTCACCTGGGTGGCACAAGCTCAGCATGGCACCGGTGGGGACTGTGATCACAGGGCACGTGCTACCCCTGCCTAAGGGACCTGGGGCCAGGCGCCTGCTCAGTTCTACTTTCTGCTTCTTCTTCCTAGTCATCCAAGTGGGAGGTGGTGACAGGGGTGAGGGGATTCTTTTCAGGTAGTTCCTTTAGAACTGGCCTGCCTCCAAGCCTGCTTCACAAGCACAAGATCCTGAGTTCAAGCCCCAGGAAAGGGGGAGGGGGAGAATTGGTGTGCCAATTAAATGTATTTCAGGTTCTTCTGGCCTCAAAGAACTGGACAAGACAAGCCAAAAACGGTGCCAAATCTTTATTTCAAAGATGGAAAAAGGACCAAGAGAGATTATGTAAAGGTGCAAATTTCCAGTGATGGATGTCATTATATTGTATACCTAAAATGTACCAATAAAACATGAAAATGTTAAAAGAGTGAAAGATGGGCCGGGGATTTAGCCCAGTGGTTCCAGCGCCTGCCTCGCAAGCCCAAGGTCCCAAGTTGAATTCCCGGTACCTAAAAAAAAAAGTGAAAGGTGAAGGAGCAAGGGAAAAACTGACTCTGCAGAGTGAACTTGGGCTGAACAAAAGAGGAAAGGAGAAAGGGAGCAAAAATAAATGTACACTGTGGTCTAAAGGACAGGGTGGCTTACTGTGAAGATAGAGGATACCCGGAGCTCCTCCTGGTGTCTGTGTCTTTGTCATCCACACCTCATACTGGGTCCTGCCAATTATTTGCACCATCCTGGGATCTTGTAGTTGACAGGTCCTGCCTAATTTCCCAATCACGTTTTTTTTTTCATTCCCCCCCAATCAGTTTTTTTTTTTTTGGCACCGGGGATCAAACTCGGGTCCTTGCGCTTGCGCAGCAGGCGGTGAAACCAGAGCTAAATCCCCCCCCGACCCCCCCCCCCATCAGTTTTGACATGCCCTAATTCCTATCACAGGATGATGTGATGAAATCCCGAGGCACAGACTTGGCACTCAGGAAATTCCATCAGGATGCCTGTAGTTTTTTGTTCTTGTTTTGGGGTTGTTTTCGGTTTTCGTTTTTTGAGACAGGGTCTTGCTATGTAGTTCAGCCTAGCTTTGAACTCACTATGTAGCCCAGGCTGGCCTTGAACTCATGGCAATCTTCCCGCCTCAGCCTCCAGAGCGGTGGGATTACAGGGTTGCACCATGTCCAGCATACTGCTGTGGTCTTTTTTTTTTTGGAACCGGGGATCGAACTCGGGTCCTTGAGCTTGCAGGGCAGGCGGCAGAAACCCTGAGCTAAATCCCCAGGCCACCGCTGTGGTCTTGATGACGCATTTATTTTTAAATATTTATTAATTCACTGTTCTATTCCATCGATCTATCACTTATTTATATCTATCTCTAATCTATCCTCCCTACTGGAGACTCACAACATCTCCACTGAGCGGATTCCGCAGCACTTTTTCGTGTGTTTTGGCGCCCGGAAGTGACGCACTTTCCGCGCGTCGGCCCCGCCCCTCGAGCCCCCTCTCGGGAGCCGCGCGCTGCTCGCCTGTGGTGACCGTCGGAGGTGGGCCGGAAGGGCGAGGAGATGGAGAAAATGGCCGCAAACATGGGGGAGGTGTGGAAGCGCTCGCGGGAGGATGGGGTGAGCGGGGCCCGGGGCTCTGCAGGCTGGCTTCGACAGCGGGAACCGTCGGGGCTGGAGGGGCGCGGGGCGGGGCACGGCACGGCACCCGCCAGTCGCAAGGAGTGGGAGCCCCGATGTCTTCCGGCCTGGCGGCCCCGGCTCCGTGTGTGCCTGGCCGCGCTCGCCTCCGGCCCCCCGCGACCCGGGAAGCGCAGCCCCGTTACCGCGCGGGCTTTCCCTGTCCTGCATCCGGGCGCTTCTGAGCTTTCTGCTCCCTCGCTGCCTTCGCTGTGAGGCGGGGTGGCGGGACGGGTTAGTGTGGAGGCCCTGGGGGTGAGCCTCGCCCCTCGCGAAGTGTGCAGTTCGGGAAGAAGGCCGTGAACCCTCTGAGCCTCTGTGAAGAGGGAAAGAGTCCTCGCGGCATCCCTGAGGAGTGAGCGTCACTTGGGTTAATAAGCAAGGAAGCCGCTGGAACAGTTGCTGGTGACCCCACTGTCCAGTCTTCATTCCCTTCTCTCCCTTCTCACTGCAGACCTGCGGGGGGCTCAGTGCTGGCCTGGGGGTTGAGTGTGGTCCTTTCTGTGGCTGCTGCTGCGGGCCTCCCTCACCTAGGGATCGTGATAGCCAGCGTTTATTGAGGGTTTGCAGTGTGCCCGGCGTCCATGCCCTCTGGACTTTGATCCTCACAACAGTTGCCATTCCGCTTGGACAGATGGGAAGGCAGAAACAGGCTACATAGCTCAGAGTCATACAGCCACGAAGTGGCGTGGAGCTGGATTTTGATCAGATGTGGCCACATTCCTTTGCTTACTTTCTTCTGAAGGTGCTCATTTCTCCTCTACCTTATATGTCAAATAATGGGGTTGGACTTTTCCTTTGAACTCGCTTCAGGCTCTAACCTTCTAAGGTTCTTGACCAGTTAAGTGCAGACTCTGCAGCCAGAGGCTTTGGATGTGACTCTCACCTCCACCATAAGCAGCTGGATGCCCTCAGAGGAGCATCTTGCCACTTGGCAGATGGCACAGGAAGTCAGTTCAGCTGTGTGGCATCCTTAGAACAGTGCTTAGCACAAAGAAGGCACTAAGCTAAATATGAACTGTCATTTTTCCTTATCTTCACAACTCCCAGTAGGGCCTCATTCTTAGGTTCTTCCTCAAAGGAAAGAGAGCTTGTCTGGCCCGGGACTCTGCACACTGTCTTCATTCTGCAGACAGACTGTTAGATTCATTGCTACACCAGGTCCAAGACAATAATATCCTTTTCTCAAAGTCAGCGATGTCACATTACACAACCTGATCACTGGAGTGATAGCCCACTATTTGACACTTTGGGAATTATTAGGGAGAGAGGAATCTTAGAGTCAGCTGGGAATCTTGCTACCACAGAATCACCTGATTGGTGGTCTCCCTGTCCCAGCCTTTGGCTGCCTTTCCAGCTCACTGCTGCAGCCACATCGTGCTCATTCTGCTGTCTCCAAAGTGCCACTTTCTTACTCCTTTATTGCCTTTGCTTCTGTTGTAGTCACTCCTTAGTGGTTTCTAGTCTCACCTAGGAGAGGCTGTCACTGACTAGGACACTTGTGTCTGGAAGGCCCTGCCCCTGCTCTGTTCGCTCTGCTGGTGATCAGGAGGCTCAGCCAAGGCCAAGGGGATGGCCTTAGAGTAGGAGAGCAAAGTGTTCTTGGGGCACAGACATCACAATCTGTTGAGATTTGTTCAGGGTGGAGGTATGTGGAAAGGCTGCTGGGTCAACTGGTGAGAAGTGGAAGAGGCACAAATTGAGTGCTGAGCCTGTCCTAAAGAGTGACAGCTGGTACTCCTCCCCTTCAGTTTTCAGTTATTGTGGTTTATTTGTAATGTGTACATTTCTGAGTGTCTCGGGATACTCGTTTTGTACTGACAGGAGTGGGAATTACAGGACCCAAGGCTCTGGTCTCAGGTTATGTTGCTTGACTGCAGACTGCATTTCATTACTTGAGTTTTCTAACTCACAGGGATCCTCCTGCATCAGCCTCCCAAGTGCTGGAATTACAGGCATGCACCACCATACCCATGAAAGGATTGTTGAAAAGAGATAGAAAGGGTCCCGGGTAGGGCATTTGGGAATAGTTGGTCACTTGGTAGTACAGAGACATTGATTTGATGTCCTAATGGTTCCACATGAGAGGAGAACTCTTAGCATTACTAATGTGCAGAAGAGGAGGCTTTAGTGAAGTGTGAATGCCTCATCCTAGCTGGGATGTATATGACCAGTGTGAAGCACTCTCAAGATTTCCTTCAGGCTCTGCCTTGAGTAAGAGGTGCCGGTAAAACAGCCCTGATTTAAAGAGAACAGTCAAGGGCAACCCACTTTCTGATCCCCCTTCTGTCTCTCAGACAGAAGCTATCTTTCTTTCAATAAATTTTTCCTACTCTTAAAAAAAAAAATAGAACAGTCACAATTCCTGACTTGGCCACATAGAGTCTATGTACTGACAGTGTTTATTGCAATTTTTGTTTGTCCTAAATGTTTACCTGGACCTGTGAAGGAAGACAGCCACTGTAGGGGACAGGGGAAGGGGACGTTACCAGAACCTCTACAGTTAGTCCTGGTCTCCTGCGAGCCACGGCAGCACACGGCGAATTACAGGAAAGGTAGAAAAATGAGACCGAGAAGAAGCTGAGCTTTGGGTCTGATCAGTGCTGCTCTGGGCGGCAAAGACAAAAGCCCCCAGCTTACCACACCTTTTATTCAGTAC